TGCGTAGAGAGAGGAACACTCCTACACTGCTGGTGGGACTGCCAACAGTTCAACCTCTGTGGAAAGCATAATGGAGATACTTAAGCGATACAAGTGATCTCCATTTGATCCAGCCAATCCCATTGCTGGCATCTACCCAAAGATCCAATGACAGTCTACAAAAAAGACACTGCACTCGAATGTTTATAGCAGACAAATTCATAATTGCAAGGCTGTGGAAACAGGCCAAGTCCCATCAATCCAAGAATGGATTAATAAAATGTGGTATATGTATTACTGGAGTGTACTATTCAGCTCTAAGAAACAATGGTGACATAGCACATCTTATATTTTCCTGGTTAGAGCTGGAACCCATACTATTAAGTGAAGTTTCCCAAGAATGGAAAAACAAGCACCACATATACTCACCAGCAAATTGGTATTAACTGAACAGCACCTAAATGGTCACATAGATACTACAGTAATAGGGTATTGGGGAGGTGGGAGGGGGGAGGGGGGCCGGTATATACATATATAATGAGTGAGATGTGCACCATCTGGGGGATGGTCATGATGGAGACTCAGACTTGTAGGGGGAGGGGGGGAAATGGGCATTTATTGAAACCTTAAAATCTGTACCCCCATAATATGCTGAAATAAAAAAAAGAAAAAAAAAGAAAAGATCAGAGAACTTACAATGGATAATCCAAAAATGAAATTTTAAAAAATTCCATTTACAATAGCATAAAAAGAAAAAAATACTTAAGAATAAATTTAACCACAGAGGAGAAAGACTTGCATATGAAAACTATAAAACACTGCTGAAAGACATTTAGAAAGACATAAATGTTCCCATATTCATGAATTAGAAGATTTAATATTAAGACATCAATACTACCCAAAGCAATCTACATATTTACTGCAATCCCTATTAAAATCTCAATGACATCTTTATATCTGAAATTCGGATGGAATCTCAAGGGACCTTGAATAGTCAAAACAATCTTGAAAAAGAACAAAGTTGGTAGACTCACACACCTCCTGATTTCAAAACTTACTACACAGCTACAGTAATTAAAACAGTGTGGTAATGACATAAAAAAAGACATATATATCAATGAAACAGAATAGAGAGTCGAGAAATAAACCCTTTTATTTATAGTCAATTTTTTATACAAGGGTGCCAAAACCAAAGGGCAAAGCATAGACTTTTAAACAAATGGTACTGGTAAAATTGAATATCCACATGCAAAAGAATGAAGCTTGACTCTTATCTCACACTATATACAAAAATAACATGGATCAAAGACCTAAATTTAAGAGCTAAATGATAAAATTCTAAGAAGAAAACACAGGTTAAATCTTCATGACTTGGATTTGGCAATAATTTCTTACGTATGACACCAAAAGCAGAAGCAACAAAAGACAAAATAGATGAACTATACTTCATCAAAATTTAAAACTTTTATGCTTCAAAGGACACTGTCAACATAAGAAAGAGGCAATATTTGAATGGTATAAAATATTTTCAAATCACTTGTCCGATAAGGGATCCAGAATACGTAAGGGACTCCCCAAACTGAACTCCTAAAGAGCAAAAAACAAAACAAACCATCAGGTTAAAAAATGGGCAAAGGGCCAGGCCCAGTGGCTCACACCTGTAATCCTAGCACTCAGGGAGGCCGAGTGGGTAGATCGCTGAAGGTCTGGAGTTCGAAACCAGCCTGAGCAAGAGCAAGACCCTGTCTCTACTAAAAATAGAAAGAAATTAATTGGCCAACTAAAACATACACAAAAAATTAGCTGGGCATGGTGGTTCATGCCTGTAGTCCCAGCTACTCGGGAGGCTGAGGCAGTAGGATCGTTTGAGCCCAGGAGTTTGAGGTTGCTATGAGCTAGGTTGACACCACAGCACTTTAGCCCAGGCAACAGAGTGAGACTGTCTCAAAAACAAACAAACAAACAAACAAACAACAACAAAAAAAAAACGGGCAAAGGACTTGAATAGACATTTCTCCAAAGAAGATGCACAAATGGCCAACAAGCACATGAAAAGATTTTAAACATCCCTAATCATTATGGAAATGCAAATCAAAACCACAAAGAGGTATCATTTCACACCCATTGGGATGGCTGTTATTAAAAACACACATACACACACAGAAAATAACAAGTGTTGGTGAGGATGTAGAGAAATAGAAACCCTTGTGCATTGCTAGTTGGAATGTAAAATGGTGTAGCCACTGTGGAAAACTATAGGGGTTCTTCAAAAAATTAAAAATATAATTACATTATCCAGCAATTCTACTTCTGTACATATACCCAAAAGAAGTGACAGTAGGGACATGAACATGTATTTGTACACCCATGTTTATAGCAGCATTAGTCAAAATAGCCAAAAGGCAGAAGCCACCCAAGTGTCTATCAATGGATGAATATATAAACAAAATGTGGTATATACACAGAATGGAGTGTTATCCAGCCTTAAAAAGGAAATTCTGACACACAATACAACATGAATGAACCTTGAGGAAATTATTCTAAGTGAAATAAGCCAATCACTAAAGGACAGATACTGTATTATTTCACTTATATGAAGTATTTATAGTCAAATTCAGAGAGACAAAAAGTAGAATGGTGGTTACCAGGGGCTAGGGGAAGAGGGAAATGAGAAGTTTTTAATTGGTTCATTAACAGTACCCCAGATTTATTGAGATATACTTGACAAATAAGAATTATATATATAGGTATCCAACTTGATTTTTTGATATACCTATACACTGTGAAATAATCACCACAATCATGCTAATTAACATACACATCATACTACATGGTTACCATTTTATTTTTGTGTGGTGAAAACACTTAAGACCTATCCACTTCACAAATTTCATGTATACAATATTGTTAACTACAGCGGTATTGTACATTAGATCTTCAGAACTTATTCATCTGCATAACTGAAACTTTGTACTCTCAGACCAACATCTCTCCATTTCCCCTCCCCCATCCCCTGGCAACCACCATTCTACTCTCTGCTTCTGAGTTTGACAATTTCAGATTTCACATAGAAGTGAGATCATGCAGTATTTCTCTTTCTGTGTCTGGTTTATCTCACTTAACCTAATGACCTCAAGGTTCATCTATGTTGTTATAAATGGCAAGACTTAATCCTATTTAAGGCTGAATAATATTCCATCGTATAAATATGCCACATTTTCTTTATTCATCTGTTGATGGATTTTCTTTATTCATCTGTAACCTAAATATAGAAATTTAGGTTATTTCTGTATTTTGGTTATTGTGAATAACGCTGCAGTGAACATAGGAGTACAGACATCTCTTCAACATATTGACTTCCTGTCCTTTGGATATACACCCAAAAGTGGGATTGCTGGATACGATAGTTCTATTTTCAGTATTTTGAGGAACCTCCATACTCTTTTCAATAGTGGTTGTATTAATTTAAATTCCTAGCAACAATGTGTAAGAGTTCTCTTTCTCCCATCCATGCCAACACTTGTTACCTTTCATCTTTTTGATAATAGCCATTCTAACAGGTATGAAGTGATACCTCATTGTGGTTCTAATTTGCATTTCCCTAATGATTAGTGATGTTGAGCATTTTTTCAAATACCCACTAGCCATTTTTATATCTTTTTCTAAGAAATGTCTATTCTGGTTCTTAGCTCATTTTAAAATCAGTTTGTTTCCTTGTTATTGAGTTCCTTATATATTTTGGATATTAACCTGTTAAAGGTATGATTTGCAAACGTTTTCTCCCATTCAATAGGTTGTCTCTTCACTCTGTTGACTGTTTCCTTTGCTGTGCAAAAAGCTTTTTAGTTTGATGAAGTCCCACTTATTTTAACTTTCGTTGCCTGTGCTTTTTTGGTGTCATTTGCAAAATATCATTACCCAGACCAATGTCAAGAAACTTTTCCCCTATGTTTTCTTTCTTCTAGTCATTTTATGGTTTCAGTCTTTAATCCATTCCGAGTTTAACAAGACGAAAAAGTTCTGAATTTGAACTGTGGTGATGATCGTACAACAATGTGAATACACTTAAAGCCACTGAACTATACACTTAAAAATGGTTAAAATGACAAATTTTACGTTATGTATATTTTATCACAATTTTTAAAAAGGACAAATGAAATATTTAAGATTGGAAACAAAGTTTTGTTTGACTATTATCTAGCCTATTTACTATGCACTCTGTTTCCTTTTCCAAATCCTATTCAATCTTCAAAATCCATTTCTAAACCAGGCACAGTTGAGTGTACCTATGTGTACCCAGCTACTCAGGAGGCCCACACCAGAGGATCACAAGGCCATAAGTTCGAAGCTGTGGTGGGCTATGATCACACCTGTGAATAGCCACTGAACTCCAGTCTGGACAACACAGTGAGACCCTGTCTCTAACAAAACAAAACAAAAAAGGAGAGAAAAGAATCCAGACCAGTTCTATTATAATTCCTCCCATATTTCAAATTCCAAAATATGTTACTATTACTATCTAAATGAATTTGGCAATTAATCATGTTTTGCCAGGTTATCACTATTACTATGGGTCTTCCACTGCTGTCTTAAAGATTTATAAATATTTATATTTGACTTCTTTAATAGATTGAATCTTATTTGAGGGAAGTGGCAATATCCTATTTTTAGTGACAGTTAGGAGGACAGGCTCTAGAGCTTATGCCTGAGTTTGATTAATGAAGTATTTTTAAATATTCCATTTTTATCTCATCACACTGCTTCTCTCACTTGGTAGATCCTGATTCTTCTCTCTTTGGGTGTCTCCAGATTGACAGGCCTCCAGACATTTGCTATGGCTCTGATTTTCTCTCAAGGCCAAAGGCCATTGGGTGTACACAGAATTATGCCTTCTGGGGAATCAGCAACTGCACACTAGATCAGAAAATGTGGGCAGGGGAAGGAGATCACCATTGTGCCCACCCTCCAGACTTTGTCAGTCCGAGTAATCACAGAAGGGTCCAAAGAATATACCATTTCCCTCTGGCTTCCTGAGAAATTTATTTACATGCACAGTCACTCCTTTAACAGGAAATACTATGGAAGTGTCAGGATGAACAAACCCTGTAATACCTATAGAACAACCAGCTCCAGTTCCAAGACCACACACAACTGTTTTCCCCTGGTCTACGCCCTTGAGATGCATTCCTGACAGAAAGGCTGAACCAGAATGGTTCCCCTGAGAGCCTCAAAGGCCCTGCTGCATACCTTTACTTACCACTTGCCACCACCACCACCACCCTTATGCAGAGAGAGGAAGAGGAAGAAGGGGGAGAGGTATGGCTAATGCTTCTTTGAAGATAACCCATAGGAGGACGATGCGTCAGACGTGGTAGAATATATAGTTACATAGGTTTCTTGGGAAGAATCATCCATGGGGGGCTCTTGGGGACCTCTTGTTTCAGGATGGGGGGCCTTTACAGAGGGCACTGTTGGTGTATCCACCTCCAAGGCAGGCAATGTAGTTTGAAGGGCGGTATCATTGGTGGCCTCCCCTCTGGATGCTCGTGGTTGAAAGTCATGTTTGGCAGGCATCGGAGGTGCAACAGTGTTCTTGACAGGTGCTGGTTTCTTGGAAGCTACACTAAAATGAAAAGCATCTGAGTGTTTATCTGTACTCTTGTTTAAAGCGGGGTTGAGGGCCGCTAAGGTCCAAGGATTTTCTACAACTCGGGCGGGTGCCTTCATGGATGAGTGAGAAGTTCTCTGATGCTCACTTGGGCTTCTACTGTTAGAACCTGTGGGATAGAAAAGACACAAACACAGATTTCTCAAATGTCACTTCTCCACTCCCTGCCAGTCACTTGTGAAATCCAAGTCATCTCTCAAATGTCAGCCTTTCACTTACCCTCTTAGGTTGTTTCCTCAAAGCTCTCCTCTCTATCTTACACTTTGTGCAAAGTTTATTATGGCCCTCCAATTCAGTCTAGGGCTGGGGTTTAAGAGTCTACTGTGTGACACTCTGGCTCACCATGGAAGTCCTCAGATGGCAGGGACTAACATTTGCTTAAAGTTCATGTATTTCACAACCACGGGTTTCAAATTAGTTTAGATAGAAAAATAAACACATCCTAAGTAAAAATGGGGGCTTTTTAAGGGCAAAGACTTCGTCTTCCTTGCTACTACATCCACAGTGTTCAAAACTATCTCTCACACAGTAAATGCTCAGTAAATAATTTTTGTCTTACTGATAGAAAAAAATAAATGGTAGAGACTTCTTCTAGTAATGGAGGTAGGAAACTGAGACTGATCCTTTTACTAAAGACAAATTAAAAACCAGATGATATACAAAAACAAGAAAACATCTTTAAATTATCCAAGAGTTTATAATATAGTGAGAAATTGTGTGGCCAAAATATATAAAGTAAGAATCAAAAAAAGCAAGTCCAAAACTCAAAGTTATTATTTTTGCTTAGATTTACCTTTTATTTTTAAAATTTTTTATTTTTAGTTATTATGGATGCTCAAAATTATTTTTTATTTCAGAATATTATGGGGGTACAAATATTTTGGTTACATATGCCTTTGCCTCGCCCAAGCCACAGCTACAAGCATGTCCCCTCCCCCCATACAGTGTGCTCTGCATCCATTAGTTGTGAGTCTACCTACCTCAAAGTTATTTTTGATCTGAATACAATTCAGTCTGGAAGCTGTGCACATGAGCTTAATTTTTTGTCAGCTTCATAGGAGAAAGGGGATTTTTTACTGGTGAACTGTAGGTCAATCCCATGACAACTAATATCTTTATGATATTAGGTTTTCTAATGCATAAACATAATATATTGCTTCATTTATTTGAGTCTTTTTCTTTCAGTAAAGTTTTGTAGTTTTCAGTGATCAATCATATATCTTCCCTTATGACAGCTTTTCTGATCAGAGTTGATTTTGTCTGACATTAGTACAGCCAGCCCTGCTCTCTTTTGGTTACTATTTGCATGGAATATCTTTCTCCATTTTTTCACTTTTAATTTGTATCTTCAGATTTAAAATGAGTCTCTTGTAGACAGCATATAGTTGGACTGTATTTTTTTAATCAGTTCTGCCAAACCCCATCTTTTGATTTGAGAGTTTAATTCATTTACATTTAAAGTATTAAGGAGAAATTTACTTCTATCATTTTGCTACTTGTTTTCCATATGCCTTAAAGGTTTTCTTGTTTCTTATTTCCTGCATCTCTTTGTCTTCTGACAGTTTTATTCTAATATTTCCTGGTGTGGTTTTAAGTTCATCTTACTGCAACTATCTTGAGTTCCTTGGAGATATATATATATGTGTGTGTGTGTTCAAGTTTTTCATCAAAGGATGATAAAACTGAAAAACTTCTAAGTGAGATCCTGTAATCATCTATAATATATACCATTTTGCCGATAAATGTGAAAATTTAGATCAGCAGTTCTTAAAGTGTCATTTAAAGGACCTCTGGAGGTTTCTGAGACACTTTCAGGGGGGTCCATGAGGCCTAAATTATTTCCATAATAATACTAATGTTATTTCATGTTCTTATTCTCATTCTCTCAGCAATTTTCCAGTGGCCACATGATAGGTGACAGTGCAAGAGACTGAACACAGAAACAGATGTAAGAATTCTTGTCATTAATCCAGACATTAGAGAGATTTGTAAAAATGTAAAATAATTTCCATATTTTTGTTTTATAAAATAATCATTTTTCAAAAACTGGTATTTATGTTATTTATAAATGGGTTTTTAAATTGTTTTTATGTGAATCAGTAAATGTTTTTAAATTTATTATATGGTAAATAATGGCAGATACTAGACATACTAAGAATCAGAAAAATATGATCCACATCCAGAAGACTGAGCTAATAGAAATGGGCCAGAAATAACAGAAATGATGAAACTTGCAAACAAGAATATTAAAACAACTATTGTAACTATATTCAGATATTTAAAGCAAACATGGATACAATGAAGAGAGAAAAGGGAGATATAAAAAAGAACCCAGTGGAAGTTATAGAGATGAAAAATATAATATTTGAAATAAAAATTTCACTGGTTGAAATTAACAGATTAGATATTACAGAAGAAAAGATCAGTGAAGTTGAAGATACAGTATGGGTGGCAAAATTCTACGATAGCCCTTAAGATTCCCAACCTTTGCTATACATCCTATAAGCCCCTTCCCTTGAGTGGGGTAAGACTTGTGAATATGATAGGACAGATACCCCCTTGATTACGTTATATTATTTAAGGTAACAGAGGTGATGGGATAGTTACTCCCATGATTACATTACATTACTTAAGACTTCATCATAGCAAACTGGAAAGATATTCTCTTTCTGGCTGTTAATAGTAAGCTACCATGTTGTAAGGACCATGTGGCTAGGACCTGAGGGTAGCCTCTAGCAGCTCAGAGCAAAACCCTGCCAACAGCCATCACGAAAATAAGGATGATTTCACAGTCCTACAACTAGAAGAACTGGTATTTTTGTTATGACAGAGGGGTCTGTTCACTGTTCTATGGAGAATGTATCTTGCTCTTACTCTGTAAACCTATACCTTGGTCTTGCTCTGTAAATCTATCTTGTCCTTCCTCAATAAACTTCATTTTACGCTTAAAAAAAAAAAAAAAAGAAAACAACCTAGAGGAACTAAATTCTCCTAACAACCAGTGAGACTGGAAGAGGACATGGAACCTCAGATGAGATTGCTGCCCCAACTGATATCTGATTTTAGTCTGGTAAGACTCTAGGCAAAGGACCTGTCTAACCTATGCCTATGAGATAGATGTGTGTTATTTTAAGCTTCTAGGTTTAAGGTATTAATAAGTTTTTATATAGCAATGAAAAATGAATATATATAGCAATAGAATCTATCCAAAGTGAAGCAAATAAATAGGCTAAAAATAAAAATGAACAGTCTCTGTAACTCATTGAGTAAAATCATACTGTCTAACGTCTGTATAATTGGAATCCCAGAAAGCAATGGTGGGTAGGGGCAGAAAAATATTTGAATAAATGCTGAAAATTTGTCCAATTTGATGAAAATTTTACTCTGACAAATCTCAGATTTTCAGCAAACCTCTGGACAGTTTCTCTCTCTCTTTATTTTTCTCTCTCACACATACCCCCCAACACCCATACCCACATACCAAGGTAAACTCTAATCAAACTACTAAAAACCAGCAATAAAAGAATAATCTTAAATAGCAGCCAGAGGAAAAACAGACACATTACAAAGGAACAAAGGTAAGAGAACTGAAGACTTTTCATATGAAACTATGTAAGACAGAAGACAACGGACTGACTCCTTCAAACTGCTAAAAAATATACCCACAAGCTAGAGAGGCAATGAATGCCTTCTGGTGGTAGATGTGGCATGAGCAGGTATAGCAGTACATGCCCATCCTGGAGGTGGTTGTGGTGCAAGATGTGGCACTCTGTGTTTAGCGTTAAAGGCTCCATTATCCTTAACCTGAGTGCATCTGGGCTGTGGTCGTGGCTTCTCTCTAGTCCTCCTTCCTTCCCTGATTCTAAACATAGTCCTGAACCTTCTAGGTGTCTCTTGGATGTACCCAAATAGCCTTTTAATATATTTTCTTTCTGCTTAGATCGGGCAAAACTAGTTTCTGTAATAGGCAACTAATAACTCTTAAAAATAGAGAAAAGTCTTAATTTCTACTCATCTTATTTTCTTACCACCATTTCAGCATGATAGGAGGTAAGGTGAAGTTAACTGAGAATTTTTTCTAAGGCATTATAGGCACTCCCTTTATCCAAATTTATATAGTTCTTCAAAATTACCTTCAAAACTTCTTTCCTATCCATGTTTTCTCCTCACCATTTCCATTTCTAGTCATTTCTTGGCTGCATTACTGTTATGGGCTGAATTGTGTGCCCTTCACCCACTCAAATTCATATGTCAAAGCCCTAACCCTCAATGTGACTATTTTTGGAGATAGGGCCTTTAAAGAAATAATTAAGGTTAAATGAGGTCATAAGGATTGGGCCCTATCCAACAGGAGTGGTGTCCTCATAAAAAGAGGAAGCGAGACCAGTGATCTCTCTCTCCCCAAGCACACACAGAGGAAAGGCCATGTGAGGACGCAGTGAGAAGGCAGCTATCTACAAGGTAGAAAGAGAGCCCTCACTAGGGGTCTTCACCAGATTTGCCAGCACCTTTATCTTGGACTTTCTGCCTCCAGAATTGTGAGAAAACAAATTTCTGTTGTTCAAGCCACCCAATCTATGGTATTTTGTTATGGCAGACCTAGCTTATTAGTACAACTACTGATAATCATAAGGTAACTGGAATATAGCCTTCAGAATTCTTAACATAGTCGAGTGATCCTCTTAACATCTACATAACCTGGAGTTATCTGCTATCTCCCTGCCGCATTGAGATTTGGGTGAACTTGGCTTAAACCTTCAGTTTCATATGAAAGACCATTTAATTTGTTCAAATTTATAAACTTATTTTTTCATGGTCCCTGTGGGTCTCTTCCTGCAACCCTAAGTGTTGTATCAGTTTAGAATCTCAGGATCTTCACCACTGTCCACAAGAAATTAAATTAACTCATGATTTTATGACTGTAATAACTTAAAGCTCCAGGAGCTATGTAAGGAAATTATATCCCATAATGCACAATCTTCTGCCTGCTCACTGGTTTTCCCTTTGACATTGCATTGGCTTCCAAAAATTCTAGCTCAACTGTGTGATAATCTCCATCATCCTCTAAAAATAAACTCTAGTAGCTTCCCTTCCCTTACTGGGCCTATTTCACTTCCTCAGACCCTGAGTTATTCTGCTAAATAAACATTTTTCCATCCCTTTACACAGAAATCTAACCATATCGCTTCCTTATGTGAAACTCATTTGCCATCTCCTGATTGCTGATATGCAGAGACTAGACTCTTATCTTGCATTCCAAGGCTTCTGAAGTTTTCTTCCTCCAGCCTCCAATATACATTACCCACAAACGAAACCCCATAAAGCACCTTCAGCCCTAATGGGCATGGAAGCTACTGTCCTGGACCTAGATGCCTGGCCCCATGGTGTCAACTGCTATACTTTTGCCTGTTACTCACTGTTCTTTGTGGGCCAGCCCTCCTCTCTCTTAGGTCACATTCCTGGTCTCTTGGGCCACCCCTGAGAGACAGCTTTCAGTTATCTCTAGCCCCTTTCCAAATGTCTGGTACAAAGTGGGTACTCAGTAACTGTTTGATACATGAATAAGTGAACAAATAACACCCACACTTGAAATCTTCCAAGGGATCTCATTGCTTAGAGGATGAAGCCTAATATCTGAAGCCTGATATAAACGGTCCTCCAGAATCTATACCCAGCCTATACTTCCCCTAGTGCCTTCCTACAATGTCCCAGACTCCCTCAGCTCTTGTCAGAGACATGAAAAGCAGACCACGTCTCCTGGAAGCAATGGGGAGGGATGGAGAGACAGGAGTGGCTAGACCTCTGACTTTACCTGAGAAAATGGTGGAGCTTTGGAACAATTTTGCTTTTGTCATCTCTCTCCGCCTGCAAGAAAGCAGACCATTCATGAATTCACAGAACCCTTCCAAAAAAGGCAATCATCCAAGGCAGTGGCCAGAAAAGCAGCATTATCCAGTCACATTTTTACTTATGCTGAGATGGGCTTTTTATGGGCTTTCCCTCTTTAAAGGATACATCACAAATCAAGAAATTATGGCATCTAAAGAACCATGGTATCCTCTAACTAACATTCCTCTTCTAGGATGTTCCGTCTCTCCTCCATCTTAAAACCCACAATCCTGTAGCGTTTGGCTGCAAAGATCCTCAAATGTCATTTTCTTGGACAGATAAAAAGACTGTGGCCCAGAATGGGACAGTGATTTTCCCAGGGTCACCAGCAGCTAAGAGGGTAAAGCCAGGGCTAAAACCCAGTCTTCCTGGTTTGTGAACTTGTTCTTTGCGCAATACCCTGCTATGTCTAATTTCATGGAAGGTAGGAAGCTGGAGGCAGTTGTTCTGGATAATCTTCAAACCCTGTCCTCTCCCAGCTGCTCCACACTGAATCCATAGTAATAGGCTTGACTAAGCTTCAGTGAGAGTCCTTATCCTGAAAATGCTGTCTTGTGTTGGGGAAGTCAAAGGGCCATGAGGAGCCGCAGACAGTATGAGAAGAAATGAGAGGTTCAGATCACAAACCCCATTTTACCATGTGGGATTACAGGAAGAGTATAACTGTTTTTTCTCGACTTTCTATAAGAATCAACTTATTACTTTTATTTTGGTAAATTTCATTTGAAATTACAAATATATACTTACCAGCGAATATAAAATATGGCAAAAATGACAATTGCAGAAACAATATCCATGCAAATCCACATGAACATATAGAACCTTGGTGTCTGCAAAAACATAAAACAAACCACAGTGAAAGAACTTTATAAGTAGAAGTTGTGTGAGTTTTCTAATTCCCTGGTTTGATCCTCCCTTTAGATCACATGAGCCAACTCCCTTGTTCTGCTGCCAGGACTGGAGGAAGAGATCAGGTGAAGGAACCTTGACTGATGTGGCATTCTCAAACACAGTCACCCTTGCACATGCAGGGGGCTCTCCAAGTAAAGAACACTGTATACCCTTCATCTCTCTTGACTCTCAAGACAGAGGTCAGAGGCAGTCCCAGAAAAGTCACACAGCAAGTCTATTCTGGACCCAAGACTACAGCCTAGGTTTCTTGACTCCTATTGCCCTATGTTTTCATGGCACAGCTTCTCAAACCTGGCTGTGCAGCCAAATCTCCCTCCCTCCTGGTGATACAGGTTTCTGGGTCTCACCACAGTCCTAAGGAATGAGAATCTCTGCCTTTTTAACATGCTCCTCAGGTGATGCTGAAGCAACCAGTTTGTGAAACAGCATTTGGGAATCATTGTTCTAAATCACTTCAATAAAGTATGCTGAAGTATAATCCTCCCTTACTTGATGTCCCTTCCTCTATGCTTCTTGCATAAACCAACTATTTCCCAGAACTCCATCTCCTTTTGTGTGAGTTTTCTAATTCCCTTTCCACTTCTATTGCTCCCCTTCCAATTTCACCCGATGCTACTGGGGCTGGCACTTTTTATTCTTTTTCAGACCATTCTTCACCCTATCCCAAGGTCTTCCCTTGGGTTGAATATTAATAATAATGATCATGATAATGAGATAACAATGATTAATGAACATTTACTAGGAGCCAGGCAAGTGTTATAAGCACTGAGGGGTAATTTCACATTTAATCCTCACAATAGCCCTACTTGTAGAAGCTCTTAACCAACTTTCAACAAATTGAGGTTCTTAATCCCCTTTGGGAAACTTATTGACTAATGCTGTGGTCTGCTGATTGCTCCAGGATGCCTTCCAGGTGAGCTGAATGTTCACCAAAAATCAGTTGTCCTTGTTCCCCAAACGGCCAACTGTAATTGTGCAGTGTAATTAGTTGTTGATTAAATCTGTAAAATCTGAAAAAAGGTTATGTCATTTTCAAGAAAACTAATTCAAATGCTTTGTTAAACTCAATGAAGACAGAATAGATCATTAAAAAATAAACTGCAATTGGATTAGGTGTGGGTGAAACACTATAAGAGATTAGGGTAAGGTGATTATAAAAATCTAGGTGGATTACTCATTCAGATTGATTCTTTGAATGACTTTAAGCTCTTGTTGAGCTTTAAAAAAACAAAAATTGGAATTCATTCCTAATTCATTTGGATGTTTAAATAACCAAGAGAACATTGAACTCAATCAGCTAAAGTATCTTCAAAGAAAAGACTACTTCTATGTCAAAAGGTGAATAAGTATTTTAAATTAAAATAAAACGTGTGAGGTATGTGTGTGGCATACTGTTTATAAAAATGACCACAAAATGTCTTCAAAACCATACATGTAGGCCCCTATGCAATGTGACTTAGCTGTGCCTCTTAGCCTAACAAGAGGTGAAGTCTGTCTCTCACCCACCTTGAATCTGGACTTGGCCATGTGATTTCCTTTGGCCAATGGAACATTAAGCCATTGTAGACCATCCAGCTCAGCCAAACCAAAAGAACCACTTAGCCATCATCCAAAATGTGAGACATAATATTTTAAGATACTAAGGTTGAGGTAGTTTTTTTTTTTTTTTTTAAAGCATTTAAGTAGGTTTTTTAAGGCTTAGAGTATATGTATTTTTTTATGGTTCCCGCTTTAACTTTCTCAATTACCAATGATCAGATCAGATTGTGTTGGATAAAAGTGCTTCTATTGCACTATTATTCCCAATTTACAAAATATAAAACAGAAAACCACCAAAAACTGAGGCACAAAAAGGTTAACTAATATTTCCAAGTTCATATAGTGAGTGGTAGAGCTAAGATCTGAATTTGCATAGTCTTAACTCCAGAGTGCGGGCTGCCTAGAAAGCCTGTGGAATACTGTTCCCACCTCCCTAAACAAAATGAATTTATCAACTCAAATATTAAAATGAAAAAATGCTTTCAGAAAAAGCATAAATGTGTACCTACCAAACGGACAACTTTAAGACATTACTGATTCAGGGGGAGAGGATTATGCAGGGGTGTGTTGCTTTCTAAACTATGCATTTTCATAATGACTTAATTTTAAAATGTTAAAAAATACATAGTATACATATGAAGGGGAGTTGTATGGGGACAAGTGGGTGGAAAGGTTTCACCTGTGCTGAGGGACCTGCCATCAAAAGTTCCCTTCAGGATTATCTCCAGAAAGCTGCTCAAGTCATCAGAGAAAGGAGGAGTCGACGATTTCACATTTCTACCAGAGAGCCTTAATGCAGTACTGGCCCTATGAGACTGTGCCCTTGACCCTAATCCCCTCTCTCTCCCGGTCCTGATCCTGAATAGGTCAGAAGCTAGGGTCAGTGAGAGTAGAGATATGAAGAAGGCAAACTGAGATCCCACCCTACTTAGGCTTCTCTGCCTAAAGTTTTAACTTTCAAGGCAGTTTGGAGTTTGGGATATTACTACTTTGGACTGGACACTTTAATTCTAAAGTAAAGTTTTTGATGACTAGAAGTGAACTTTTAAAACTTATCTAAAAGTGAGTGGAAAAGCTATGTGACCTGAGAGATTTCATTCAGGGGCAGGGAAAGGCCTAGCTCACAGACTAGATTTAAAGAATCAATGCAGCAAATTAAACTGTCTTCTGTTGTATCTGCTACTGTGCCCTACCCAGTCAACCTGCTCTTTATACAGCTAAGAAAAATGAACTCTATAGCAGCAACTGGTTAGCTGGGGCTCCTTCTACAGATAATAACTGATGGGATTTAGCCTGGATATTGTAAACCTGGTCCCCAGGTCTCTGGCAGTGACCAACAGAAGGGCAAGAACAGGAAACCAGGCCAGGCAACTAGATGCTGGCTGCCCTCTTTAAAAGCATTTTTTGTTCAGGACACACAGTTTTCACTCTGGAGTCAAGTACATTTGGTTTTCTCTCCCCACCCCATTGCTATTGTCCATTGTTGCCATGCCTCCAGGAAGGTGGGGCTGCAATAACAAAACTCTGGAGTCAGACCTCATTCTGAATCCTATATCATGAGATCATACCTTTGAGCTTCAGTTTCTTCATGGGGATTATAACAATGGCTAATTCAGAGGGTTATGTTACATAATATACCTAAAGTACACTGTAAGGATTCAATAAATGTCAATTATTCTAACTATACTAATTTTTCCCTGAAAATCACAGAAGGATCTGGGTGAGAAAATGGGAAATGCCACATCTCCAATATTCAGAGAAGTCTGTGCTCTTAAGTAGCTTCCCAGGTGATTGCACAGTGGGCAACATAGGGTGCGGGGACCTATACCACTATTGTACCAGGCTTGGAAGAACAATCTAGCCAACCAGCTCACCATGAAGAACTGAGGGTGATTAATCTGACTCAGGAGTGCAATGTTGTCTGTGGTCACTGAGGTAATACTGGAGCACCAGGCCAGTGAGAAAAGCCAAGGCTCATTGACGACGTATAAGTTGACCTTGATGTTGGCTGCTTTATAATCTCTGGAACAAAAACAGAACCGACAGGAGATTTAGATTCCTTTTCATTCTCATCATCTAAAAGAGGAATAGCCATGATGATTGTGAAAGGCTATTGCTTAAATCACCAGAAGCAGTTGGTCTGAGGACAATTCATGATTTGATGTGACAGAATGGGCTCATGGTGCAATGAGATAAAGGATTGGATTTAGTACCTCTACCCCTGTAGCAACAGTAGTGTGCTGGCAAACAAGATGTCCTATGGGAGAGCAATAAAAAAGAAAGAAAGAAAAAGAGAATGAAAGAATGGGGAAAAAAGAAAAAGGAAAGTCCTACTGTATCATTTGCAAATTTCCATGGTATAAATACTCCTACCACAGCCCACTGCAAGCTACCACTGGTAAAACCAATTTGCAGAGTTTCTGAGTATTTAATAACTGTCTTCCACAAGCTAGTGTGAGCTGGCTCTGGCACACTACTGTGTAGCAGCACTGATATTTCCATCAAAGCATTTGCCACCCCTACGATCTCACCTGACAGTCTTTACTTGACTGTAAGGAAATGGAAAACAGAGAATGTGTCTATTTGTCTCTGTACATCCAGTACCTACCACAATACCTGGCTCCAGAAATATTAACTGAAAAAAATACATAAATGAATACCAATGTGGCGAACATTTCAAATTTCAAATATAAAGAATTTTCATAAATACTGAGTAGAGGGAATAAAACCCAATTTTCCTCAAGGTATTAAATGTCAGTATAGAGACAGGAAGAAAATAAGTGGAGGAATACCTAGTAATTCTAGTCAAGTTGTAATTTTCAGGGATTCAATTTCTCAGAAAACACACCATGTAAGTGCCTGCAGATTTTTTTTAATCCTAAAATGGTACAGGGCATATTGAAAACTGCTCTGTATAAGCCTGGCCTTGAATTCTAGCTCTGCCATATACCAGAGCTTGGCAAGTTCTTAGCCTCCATGTATAAACTGTAAAACAATAATAATACCCTTTACAGGGATGCTGGCAGTTAATTACCCAACATGTTACAATTGTCTGAGTCAATTCTACAATATAACTAAAAGTTTAAAAAATGAAATTAGGAAAAAGTAGTAAAAGTTACTTCTTATCTTTTGAAACTAAAATTCAAAAACCAATCACATTTCTATAATATTAATTAAAACCCCACAATGAGATATCACCTCACACCTGTTAGAATGGCAATTATCAAAAAGATGAAAGATAAGTGTTAGTGAGGATATGGAAAAAAGGGAACTCTTATATACTGTTGGTGGGAATATAGATTAGTACAGCCATTATGGAAAACAAGATGGGGGTTCCTCAAAAAACTAAAAATAAAACTAACATGATCTAGACATCCCACTACTGAGTATATACCCAAAAGAAGTAAAATCAGTATGTCAGAGACAGCTACACTCCCATGTTCATTGAAGCATAATTCACAATAGTCAAGATACAGAATCAACCTAAGTGTCCATTAATGGATAAAGGAAATGTGCTATATTTTGATGCTTATGATGGAATACTATTCAGTCTTAAAAAAGAAGGAAATTCTGTCATTTGCGACAACATGGCTGAACCTGGAGGACATTATGCTAAGTGAAATAACCCAAGCACGGAAAGGCAAATACCACATCATCTCACTTATATGTGAAATCTAAAAAAGTCAAACTTGCAGAAACAGAGAGTAGAATGGTGCTTACCAAAAAAATGCTAGGGGATTCAGAGAGAAGGGAGATGTTGGTCAAAGGGTATAAAGTTTCAGTTAAACAGAGGGAATAAGTTTTTAAGATCTACTGCAAAGTATGATAACTATAGTCAATAATGTGTTATATATTTCAAACTAAGAAAAAGGCTGAGGCAGTAGGATCTCTTGAGGCTAGGAGTTTAAGACCAGTCTGGGCAAAATAATATGAGCTCCCATTTCTACAAATATTAAAAGATTAGCTGGACATGGTGGCATATGTCTGTGGTCCTAGCTACTGGGGAGGCTGAGCCAGGAGGACTGCTTGAGCCCAGGAGTTTGAGGTTGCAGCAAGCTATGACTGTGCCACACTAGCCCAGGCAACAGAGACCCTGTTTCAAAAAAAACCATACACACACAAAAAAACAAAACCAAAATCCTCAAAAAAAAGTAGCCAAGAGAGTAAATCTCAAATGTCTTTAAATGAAAAATGATAAGTGAGGTGATGGATATGTTAATTAGCTTGATTTAACCATTCTGTATTGTATACATATATTAAAACATCACATTATACCTTGTATAATTATGTCAATTAAAAATATTACTTTTAAAAATTTCTTAAAAACACTTAAAAAATTTCCAACCACAATAATAAAACAGATAGCAATTCTATACTCATATACTTTAAATATATTATTTTAATTAGAATAATTAAATACATAAATACATTAATTAAAACAATGTATTTAAAGCATTCTCAAAATGGCAAGTTCACAATATCTTGTGACTGGTCTGATAAACTAGGATGTGAACACTGATCATTGAGAATGTATTGGCAATGTGATTGTAATCACAAATATTCTGGTCATAAATATTACTCAAATATTGAAAGTATAATTGCTTACTTTCTTAAAATGTACAGGTCCTTGAGGGGCATGATTCAGAATATAGTCCTGCTCATGAATTTATCATGATCAGCTTTATGGAAGCAGTGTAGTTATATGGAAAAAAGCCTTATTCTTCTTACTAGAGTATATGTGCTCCTAAAGGAGAGGGATGACGTCTTGCTTACGTCAACGTTTCACATAAAACTATCATGGTGCACTGTTCATATTACTACTTGGTAAATATTTGCTGAACTAAGCTAAACTGCTTGACTTTATAATAGGACTCCGGATATGATCCCTGTTAAATCTGATGCCAGCTGAAATTATGCCTGTGTAACTGTGGCCAAGGAATTAATTTTAAAGGCATAGTGGTGAAAGAATTTGAACTCTGTAGTCTGTCAGACCTATATTTAAATCTCAGGCTCAACACTGACCAACTGTGTGAACTACGTAACCTCTGTGAATAGGAAATGATAATTCCACTGCACATGAAAAGATGGTGACAATAAAAGCAGCAGCTAACATTTACTGTCTTCTTACATTCGCCCAGCATTTTGCTGTGTGTATAATATGAATGATCTCATTTGACCTTTTAACCATCCCAGCAGGTGCCACTCTTATCCTAATTTACAAAGGAGAAAACTGACTATTAGAAACTTGTCCTAAGTCATATGAGCAGCTGATGGATAGGCCAGGATTTGAAACAGAGCCCACAGTCTACCAAACATAGAACTTGAGATATAATAAAGGCATAATAAATGAAAGCCATTGTAATTATTTTTTCATCTACTAGATCAATCTAAGTTAGGATTAGGAGAGGAAGAAATCATTTTAGAGCCATTTTCTACATGGAAAAAAAATAAAAATAGAAACATAGTTCTAGAAATAGAACTATGCTCAAAATAGAGGAGGAATAAACAGAAATCTTCTGAATGGGAAATAAAAAGTAAAACATATATTTTCCAATACTAAAAGAAAAAAGACATTATACGATCAACCACCTCCTGGCCAGAAAGACGTAAGAAGCAGGAACAGAAACAGGTTCATGCCTTGGGATGCGGAAAGGTATAGTATGTAAGAAAATTTTGCGAAGCCCAGAGTGTGAGTCTACACACACACACACACAAATATATATATCTGCAAGGAAGACTTTGTCTCTGAAGCATTTAGAATTATCTAAAAAATTATTCTTAAATCCAAGAGAAAGGGAATATGGATCAATCATGATTAATAACAGTTAAGTTTGGAAAGTTACCATCTTATCTCCAGGTACTTTTAATTTGAAAAATTCATCTCCAATTGTATATTTATAAATGTAGCAGTTAATAATTTTAATTTCTTCTTGTGTTTGGCTATTTTAAGTTTTTTATAATAGTTTACAGTTATATCCTTAATTATTCCTGTCAGAAATATGGCTATTTGGATCACAAAGCCATTTATGGTGGTATTACATCAACTAGTATCGGCAGGAGGAAATAAACATCCACCTTATTTAAATACAGAAATGGGCCAAGCATACAGAAAGTATGTTGAATGATGAGAGACTGGAGCATACAAGAGAAGGGGCCAAAGTCTATGTTCCAGGCACATAGCCTATACTAGATCAATGTTTCTTGGCAGAGGGAGGGATAGAGGAACAGGAAGGAGAAAGTAGGGTATTCCAAGAAGATAATCATATAAATGCTGAGACGGAAAGGAGAAGTTAAGCAGTTTAGTTATAATGTGTTTTTTTGGGCAAGTAAGGCAATACATGCCAAGAGAGATGTGGTCAAACACTTACCCCATCTTAGAGTAGGATATCTTCTTGTAGTCGACATTTATTCTACTGACATTTTCTTTTGTAAGCTTTTCAATGGAGAGTGAACGGCTTACATGCTGAACTCCAGGAGCCAAAAACTTGACATATTTCTTATCATGGCCCGGTAACCAAAAAATCTGTAAGGAGAAATAGGAAGTTCTTCAGTAGATAATCAGCTGTACAAACAGCCCCATAAAGAATGAAGGGAGCTCCATTCCAGAACTGGTGGTAGCCTACAGGGAGCAGAGAGAGATTTTAGCCCTTGGTGAAAAGTCAACCTGGACTTTTGTCTAATATTGTCTAATGAACTCTTATATGAAGAGTTCAACCTGGGGCTTTCACCAGGGCTGTTCTGGAGCTGAGTTTTCTTAGGAGTTAACATCAAGGGTCAAGGGCCCACCGTGTACAGAAAGCCTCATGCTAGCAAAGTACATGCGGAGTTGGCAGATACAGATGAATGGGGAGAATCAAAACATCTCTGGTTGGTGATCCTAAAAGTCATCTTTGAGAGAAGTCATTTACTGCCAATGGGGATGCTATTACGATTCATCTGTAAAAACAGTTCCATTTGTAAAAAGACACTTTTTTTTCCACAACACTCCCACATTCTGAGAATTTAACAGATTTGAAGTAACTGCCAGATGCAGAGTTGCTTGTGAAAAACATAATGAGCAAATCTCTACTCAAATAAAAACCAGTTGTCTTTTGTGTATCATTCACTAAAGCCAAGTTCTCAAAGCCTTAGTGTTACCCAAGCTCTCTCTAATAGATCTATGCTGGTAATGGTGCAGGTCACATCAGACAGTTATCACACACATTCCTCTTTAACAGGATGCTGATATTTCATTTGGTTTGGAATGGCAAACAGCCTCAAAATGGTTTTCCTCAATGAGGTAAATTTAACTGGGTCATTCTTAAATTATCACATGTGGCTGTATAAGCAACAATCTCCATTTCCTCAGAAAGTAAAATTACTAAAGAACCCCAGGGAAGACTGACAAGGTAGGTCAAGTTCAACTATTATATTCCTGGGACATGCTACCCACCTCCCAAACCCTATCATAAATACTGAGATAGACATACCAGATGTTGCTCAATTCTAGAGGCAAGAATCACTTCTACTATTTTGCGGACAAATGTGTGTCTGAGAGGATGTTTTGGTGGCGGGCCATAAAGATCAAATATCACAAATTTTTTTTCCTTCTTTGCAAGTTTCAATAAATCAGCTAGTTTTGGAATCGACTGATTTCTTGCTCTTTTTTTATCTTCCTCTGATAGAGGTTTCATATTCAAAAATGGTCTGCGCTAAAAATAAATGCATCAAAAATACATTGATTCTCATCAAAAGCATTTTCCAGTTCTCATGCTATGTAGCCCCATAGCCAGCTCTACCTCCATGTTGCTCCATTACCACTCAATCCACCAGGCCCTCTGAAATACTCACCCTGAGATAAGAGTTGACAAGGAAAGAAACAAAACATAATCTTCATCAGTAATTCTGGTGTTTGGAATGATTTCTTCTATATCCTAGAACCTGCTGTATTTGCACTGAAAGTCCTTCATGTTCTTACCCTGACCTTCCTTTCCAGCCTTTTCTTCTGTAACTCAAGATAATACATCTCTTTTTGGTCACCTTGGCTTTCTACATGTGCTCTCACTGTTTTAACTTGTGTGATAGAAAAAACACATGCTTTGGCTTCAACTGGATTCAGTCCCAGCACTACCTCTCACACTTGCCTTTTTTGCCATATCCACCTGTTAAAATCCTCCCCTCAACATGCAAAGCCCAGTTTAAATGCCATCTCCGTCATAAAGCTTTCCTTAAATATTCCTTAACTAAAGAGTATGATGGCTTTAAGCCCCACTGGCCCATTTTATCCCTCTGTAATTGTATGTCTCATTCTGCCTTCTATTTGTACATATCTTAGACTAAAGCTCAAACCCTGGCTCACTATGGTTCTTGCTGTGCAACCTTGGTAAAACCATTTAAATTCTCAGAGTCTTCACTGCTCAAATTACAAATGTAGGAAGGGAGGACTAATATATATATTTCTTAGAATTATTCTGAGGGTTAAATATGATAAAATATTTGCAAAGTCTGAGAGAATGTTTGATACATAGAAAAGTGCACGATTCACATTAGTTCCCTCACTCTCTATTGACTCTAGTTACTAGAGTGCAACTCCCTCACAGCAGGAACTGTCATATATTCTCTACAACACACAGAATCTCACCTAACACGTAGCAAACCATACTAAATTTACAATTTAATAAATGGCTACTTTTTACCAATTAAATTTAATATATGGCTATTTTTACCATCAATTGATAATTTTAGATCATTTGTGGGTGAAAGCAGTGATTAAAGGCAACCTTTCAGGAGAAGGAAGCAGTAATTACTTCACGTTTTAAGACCCAAGTCATCTCTCTTTTTCTCTACACAACTTTATCTTCATTCTCATTCACACTCTTTCTATTTCTTTTCCTCTTTCCCTTGACCTCCTAAACAAGCTGCCCTTTCTCACATTTTTCTTAGGAAAGAAACAATCACATTGCAAAATATCCCCCAGAAAATTGCTAAACCAGAAAGAATATCATAGAATTCGAATTATACCATGATCTAGATCTGAGGTGAGGACTACAACTAAGGGTTTTTCTTAATTCTCAGGAAAATAGAAATTTGCTTCAGAATTCAAGATTTTGTTAGAAACTACCAGATCCAGACAAATTGGTTCACTTAATTGTTAGACCTTCATGTGAGAAAAATTGTTAAAAGAACAGGATGGGAGAGACCCAACACAAGACCAAATATTCAAAATAGCAAAGATGATAAAGATTAATCAAATACAAGAGTATAAAACTAGACTCCAGCAAGCTTTAAACAGTATTATGGGGCAGATTTAACAGCTGAAGTAAACTGAACCTCTTTTTCTCATATGCAATAGGAGACTTAGTCAAAAAAATAAACCAGTATGGGACAATGCCTGTTTAAACTATATCCAACATGTGCTGAATGTTTTCAAAAAGCCCTCGGAAGTAAAAAGGTAGAAATGGAAACAAACTTCTGGTTCTCCAGATAAAAAATATCTAGATCCTCGAATAATAATAAAATGAAAAGATCCTTTGTTCTCTATGCCTATGTGTGGAGAAATTATCAGAAGATTATGGGAAAAGGCAATGTATAAATAATATTGGTTAAGAAACAGAAGGGTAATTATTCGAAATCTGTACAATGGGTCCATGTCAAGGAAAGCATTATTACCACTGAACAGAATAATTCTGATGAAAACAATCTGTAACTACAGATGATCAATAATACAGTTTTCTTGTTAATATGGGTGCCACTACATCTACCACTAATTCCATTACCATAAAATATCAGAACACTCAGAGTATTAAAACCACTCAAGTAGTAGAAATTTCTAACAATCCTTAGTCCTGTTCCATGTCCCAACATAAAACTGATACTTTGAGACCACTGTCAGAAGAACATTTCTTTCTTCTCTATGGCACTTCCCCTATAAATTTAAATCTTAGGAATCTACTTTGCAAAAAGAGCTATCAGAAGAAATGTACTGCAGACAAATTATTTTTAGAAGTCTCAGAAATTTTACTGCACATTATCAAATTATAGCTGATATGAACATTACTATCTGGATTAAAAAAATAACCACATAGACTTTCTGATTCCATATGTATGGAGCTTAGAAGATGCCACTCCATCCTAACAAGTAAAAAATTGAACAGAATGCAAAATCAGCAACATTTCTTGGATCTGAAAAGGGAGGTGAGGACACAGGACAAACTACTGCCCACAAGATTAGAGAGATAAACAGGTGAAAAAAGGGGAGTCACAGCTTACTGAAATGAGACCTATAGGTGGAAACTAGAGTGTTAGGGTAGGAAAACCTGAACTATAATTGCTAGAGGCTTAGTGTTGACAAGTCTGGGAGTTAAAAGCTCAAGGGGGATGCAGTCAAAGGAGAGCCCCCATACTTTTGTGAGAGTTTTAGCTCCAGGAGCTTCATCAGGTTTTCAAAAACATTGGAGAAAAATCCCCTCATGTTTTTGGCAGGGAGAAGGAAAAGGAATTGTTCTGAAATACACCAGAGCACTCTGCTTCTTAACAAGAAGGCCTACACTCAGGAGAAACTATTTAACCACAGCCTAACCTGCTGGGATTTTATTAGAGCCTAACTGACCTGGAAGAAGGGAATTACCCAATTCTAGCCTACTCTAGCCATCCTGCCCCACCTAAGCAGTTTGGAAGGTGGGGAAACATAGAAGCACTTATGAAATTTGAAGCACAGAGGAAAAGGCTCACAAAGACTGAGACCTAATTATATGACTATAGAACACTTCCTCTCCTCCTATACCTAACCACATTACTAAAAGCCTATTTATAGCAGTTCTTTTTACCTGGTAAACCACATCCGATTATTAAGAAAAAATTACAAGGCATATTAAAAGGCAAAAAAACAAAACCAAAAATTACACAACTTGAAAGACTTTTGTCCTCAGCAGAACCAGACATAGCAGAAATGTTGGAATGATCAGACCAAAAATATAAAATAACAATGATTAATATGCTAAGGACTGAAAACTAGATAAAAGAGATAACATACAAGGACAGATGGATAATGTAAGTAGAAAGATGGAAATCCTTAGAACCAACCTAAAAGAAATGCTATAGATTAAAAAAAAAAAAAGAAAGGGAAAAAAAAAAAACCACTGTAACAAAAATAAAGAATGCCTTTAATGGGCTTGCTATAGACTAGACATGGCTAAACTCTCTGAACTTGAGGATCTATCAATAGAAACTACTACAACGGAAAAGAGAACAAAGACTGAAAAAAATCAGAACAGAATATTAAAGAACTATGGGATAACTATTATACAAAAGGTGTAACATATGTGTAATGGTAATATCAAAAGGAGAAGAATGGAAGGAAGGAAAAGAAATATTTGAAACAATCATGGCAGAATTTACCCCAAATTAATGTCAGACACCAAATTACAGATCCAGGAAGCTTAGAGAAACCCTACCAGGATAAATGCCTCATCTGACTTCTCCTCAGAAACCACATGCAAGAAGAGAGTGGAGTAAAATATTCAAAATGTTGAGAGAAAACCACCAACAACTTAAAATTCAATACACTGCAAAATGATCCTTCAAAAGTGAAGGAGAATAAAACACGTTTTTAGACAAACAGAAATTACGTATCATTTTAGAACTACAGAAAACAAAGACAAAAAATCCTGACTGGGCACAATGGCTCACACTTGTAAACCCACTTCTTTGGGAAGCCAAGGTGGAAGGATTGTTTGAGGCCAGGAGTTTGAGACCAGCCTTAGCAACATAGTGAGGCATGTTGCCACCTCTATAAAAAAATTTTTAAATTAGCCAGGCATGGTGGCATGTTGCCTGTAGTGCTGGCTACTTAGGACGCTGAAACAAGAGGATCATTTCAGCCCAGGATTTTGAGGTTACAGTGAGCTATGATTGTGTCACTGTGCTCCAGCTTGGGTGAGAGAGTGAGACAAAGACAAAAAGAAAAGAAGGAGAGTTAGAAGAGGAAGGAAAAGAAGGAAAGGAAGAAAGAAAGAATCCTGAAAAAACACAAAAGAAAAAAATACCTTACTTATAGAGCAGCAGTTCCCAACCTTTTTGGTACCAAGGACCGGTTTCATGGTGGGGGTGGCAATGGAGCTCTGCAGGCCAGTCCCTAACAGGCCACAGACTGCTACTAGTCTGCATCCCATCCTGGGGTTGGGGGAATACAGCTATAGAGGAACAAAGACAAAAGAATTTCATCTGACTTCTCAGAAACCATACAAGCAAGAAAAGAATGGAGTAAAATATTTAGTGTTGAGAAAAAAACACCACCAACTTAAAATTCAGTTGCAAAATGATCCTTCAAAAATGAAGGAGAAGAAAACACTTTTCAGACAAACAAAAACTGAATGAATTTGTTACCAGTATGTTCCTTGCAAGAAATGTTAAAAGAAGTTCTTTAGAGAGAAGGAAAATCATGTATAGGTCAGAAACTAAGATCTTCATAAAGAAAGGAAGACCATCAAAGAAGGAATAAGTGAAGATAAATAACTTTTATTTTTCTTATTCTTAATTGACCTAACAGTTAACACTTTAAATAATGGCAACAATATTATATATGCTTATATACACATATATAAGCATATACATACAGACACACACTTGTACGTGCTTATATGTAAGTGATATGAAGGACAGTAATGATACAAGAGACAGGAGGTAGGAATTGGGATTATTTTCTTATTATAAG